GCCTAAACATGTTTTAACTGTAAAATTAGGGGGTCATCTTATATGCTGGAAAATACGGGTAAAACATATATCTTGTCTGACAAACTAAGAAGCTTATTACATATGTGATAGGCAGGATAATCTTTTCTTATAGTGAATAATGTAAAGGTCATACAGAGAAATAACATATTAAGAAAGAAAAAATGTCTTGTTAAATGGGTAATCTACTTATGGAAGATAAGTAGATATGGGAAAAGTTACTGCCGGAGTGAGAGAAAAATTGTAAAACATCTTAAAAGACCAAGAAGTGAAGAAGTGACAGATAATTTTTCAAACAAATATGGTTGAGAAATTAATATTCACCTTTCCAATGGACAGGACTATGAATAAAGTCAGAAATAAACAGGTACATATATTTTGCTATAATTTTAAGGAAAAATTGCTAATGACAGTCAGTATCTAATGAATAGCTTATAGGAGGCAATAAATTCTCCATCCTTAGCATATCCTAGCAGAGGCAAGAGATTACTTCCTACTTTTCTGTGAGATTCTGATGTACCAAAAAGAGTTGGAACAAGATAATATCTAAATTAGAAACTTCATTTCTGAGATGTATCAAGTACATAAGGAAAAATGTACCCAATATATATGCTATAATTCATCTATTTTAGTAGGGTAAGTGGAAGGGTTATTACAATGAGTCTAAAAGAGAATAATACTAAGGACTGTGATTTCATTGCTTTCACTGAAGGGCAGATGTTGAGAGACTTTCTAAAGTGTGGTGATCCAGCCACAAAAGTCTAAAGAAATGAAAAGAGATTCATTTCAGATCAGTTTACTTTACAAAACTATGAATGAATAATATAGGGGGGATTTTTCCTAAGAAGTGGTACAAATTACTTTAGAAAAAAGAATAGCTATTTAGCGAAAACTAGAGAGTGTGGTTCAGGTGGTAAATCACAGAACCTAAATTATTCATATTTCTTTTGGGGGAGGAGATTAGAAGATGAGGAAGATGAAAAGACATGAATGTAGGGTAATAAAGGGAAGAGGGGGTGGAAAGAAATGACATAGGGTAGCCTTAATAAATATTTTTTTTGGTGAAACAAGATAATTGGTGTTTTGGGGTAGCTCCCATGATTATTTTTTTAATTCTCTCCCTCGTGGTAATTTTTCTTTCAGAATATTATAAAATGAATCATTTTCTTTCATTTCCAAATTCAGCTTGACAGTTGCCTTGGAAGTAATAATTAGGTTTTCCTTACATAAGAGGGGAGAGGCCTATTATTGTTGAAGATTCATTTTCTAAAAGATATTCTTTATTTAACAGTCAAACAGTAAAGGATTATGTCACAGCTGTTTTTGAAGTCATTGTAGCTACAATGAATATTGAAAAAAATTATAATAAAATAATAACATGCTGCCTGAAAAATCCTTTGACAGAATTATTTAAACTTCAAGTTTTTAAAAGAATTTGAAAATAAAGCTAGAAATTTAAATGGAACCCTAAGAAATCAGCACACAAATCTAGAATGATATTTTTATCATTAGCAGTGGTTGGAGAAATACCAGAAGAGTTGTCTACAACCAAACTCTTACAGAAGAACGATGAGTCCTGGGTCACATCGTAACCATCTATGATGGTCATTACTTTAGAATGAAACTGCCCTCTTCATTTCAATTTAGCTCCATGTGGGAGATGGGTATCTCAGTTTATTTCATTCCCAAGTCAACAACTAATAAAGTTTATATTCTTGAAATAAATTTGTTAAGGCTACACCCCCAAAAGACACAACATCATAAGAACCAGCTTTTACATGAAAGGCAAAACACAAACAAACAAATAACAACAACAACAAAAAAACCTACAAAGCAAACAAACATGAAAATTCAGAAAGTCTTAAGAATAAAAATGGTAGTTCTATTATTAAGCATAGTGACTGTATTATATATTTAAAATGTACTTAGGTTAGATCTTATGTTAAGTGTTCTTAGCATATATTTACACAAATAATAATTGTTATATTAATAAAAATAGTAATAATAGAAATAATTACAAAGGTAAGAGAAAACTTTGGGAGATAATGGATATATACACTGAGTTGCCAAATTATTATGATCTCTGAACACACAATAATCTGGCCACTCAGAATAAATATATATTTATATATATTTATATATATATTTATATATATTTATATATATTTATATATATTTATATATTTATATATTTATATATTTATATATTTATATATTTATATATATATATTTATATTAGAGGCCTGGAGCATGAATTCGTGCATGGGTGGGGTCTGGCCAGCCTGGCCAGCAGAAGGGGACAGGGGTGGTTGGCTCGCCTGCCTGCTGGTAGAACTCCTGGTCAAGGAGACAATTTGTATATTAGCCTTTTATTATATAGGATATATACTGAGTGGCCAGATTATTATGTGTTCAGAGGTCATAATAATCTGGCCACTCAGTGTATTATAGCCTTAATGATGTTGGTGTTTTCATGATTGTATACCTATCCCTAAACTCATGGAGTTGTGTTCATAAAATGTGTACAGTACATTTTTTTTTTACATGCCAACCATACCTCAATAAAGTGGTTTTAAAAAATAAAATAAAATGATAGTAACTTCAGGTAGTAAAAAGGTCAAACACTCTTAGTTGCAACTTTGACTAAAGTCATTAATGCTACATTTTTTATTTTATTTTTGCCATATGTTTTCTTCTGCCAGAGTTGGTTTCTGAGTATTGGTTATTGCTGGGAAATCAAAGGTGCATCATATATTACTTGTTAAACAAAGGAATTAATGAAATGACTGAATGATAACTAAAGGAAGGAAAGAACTGACTGATAAATTCTAGGAAACAAATGCAAAGACCATGCTTAGTTGGTTTTAAGCATAGATGCCAGCCAGATTGCCTGGATCTGAAACCCAGTTCTGCCCATTGTTAACTATATGACCAGTTAGCAAGTAAGTCTCTCTTACTTGTACCTCAGTTTCCTTTTGCTTATATAAAATAAGCCATTAGAAAAGCACTTTTAAAAGTACATGGAAAATAGTTAAAGCCAAATAAATATAAAAAATACTATAGACCTGGCTGGTGTGGCTCAGTTGGTTGGAGTGAAGCATCCATCTTATATGAAAACTGCTGTTTGAAATTTTAACCCTGCTAATTGGCTTCTGTAAATTCTTGCCTGCTAAGACTACTCCCACTTTACTAAGCTATTGAACTTCCCCAGACAAGGTCATCAGTGCTGGTGCCAGGCCAGCACACACTGGCTCTTTAAGAACTTGCAAAAGGGGGCTGGAAACACTCCATATTTGGGAGACAAAGAGTAAAGGATCATATAAATAGGGAGAATTCCTGCATGTTGGGGGCCCAGAATTTGAGATACATTTTCCTCTGGACCCGTACATAATAAATGTAACTCCATCTCTCTAAGTATTGCTTTGTTCTTCTTCAGTTTTCTGTAACATGAGCATCATCCTGTACACCAAAGATTGTGGGTTTGATTTTTGGTCAGGGCATATACACAAGTTTCATGTTCAATCCTGGTTGGGGCATGTATGGGAAGCAATAATTCTCCCTCTCTCTATTTCTCCCCCTTCTTCTCTATAAAAATCAATAATAAAGTTTAAAATAGGATATTATAAAGGTCTTGTCTAAATAATTCAATACAAAAGTCACTGACAACTATGAGATTAGAGTGAGAATAAAGACATGTTGTCTAGATCAATGAAGTGGGCACAATGAACTTTGAAGTTCCACCTACAAACTTGCACCTGTCCTAGAATTTACTATTCTGTATATATTTGTCCTTCCCAAACACTTCTCACAAACGTGTTGGAGATAATGGCTCCTTACAGACATACATTAGAGACTCTATTGTCTAAGGGCAGACATAAGACTCGATATACTTACTAGTATCTTCTATTAATTTTCAGTATTTGATTATTATCTTATAGATTTGATATAAAAGGGTTGATGGACATAAAGAAGTTTTATTAAGTGAAATCTTAACTGTTTCACTGCTGATCATTGTCTGATGTTACCATAGTTTAGCTTATAACCCCAGGGCTTAGAAGGGGTCCATGTGCTGGTATCAATCATTTGCAGGGCTTCTGAAGCAGGAGGACTGCAGGCAGATATAATAATAGCTGCAATGCTCTCTGAGGGGAGAGGAGGAAGAGATCCATTTCTACATGAGAATTCTTGGAAAGTAGGGACTGAGTCTACACTGATTGAACAATGAACCACAGAGAGATATACAAATGTATTTATCAGCACACCAGGCAGTTCCCTTTGTTATGCAAAGCCTGCCTCTCTAGTAGTTCTGCTTTAGCATCTCCCTTCTAAGAAAAGATGGATTGCACTGGAAAAACAACCAAAAATTTCTGTGCCTTACGTATCTGTGAAAATTGGTGATAATTTAGATTTCTGTTTTTTAAAATGTCAACAAGTCAGATACAATTATTGATATATGTGTACTTTTGAGATCTCTTACCACAAATATGCTCTCCCTTCTTGTCTATTTCTGCCCATGATCACTGCTCTGGAGTGGATTGTGTCCCTTCCCTGCAAATTCATATATTGTAGTTCTGACTGCTAACATCACTGTATTTGGAGATAGGGTATTTAGGAGGCAACCAAGGTTATTAAATAAACGAGTTAAAGGTGGAGCTGTATTCTGATGGGGCTGGTGGCCTAGGAAGAAGAGAAAGACACAGAGGGATCTTCTCTCAGCACAAGAACCAAGAAAGGCCAGGTGAGGACACACAGAGAAGATAAATGTCTGCAAGCCAGGAAGAAAGATTCCACCAGACACTGAATGAGCCAGAATCTTGATCTTGAACTCCCCTGCTTTAAGAAAGAACTATGAGAACACATTTCTGTTGTTTAAGCTACCTAGTCTTTGGTATTTTGTTATGAGAGCCTCAACCAACCAAGATTCCTACGCTGGGAAAAGAGCTTTATAAATATGCACATAGTTTTGCTGGAGTCACACTCACCATGAGTAGTCTGTCTCCTACTTGCAACCTCCCATCCTTTTGTGCAGCTCCTCCATCTATGATTTTAGTTACATAAATGCTGTTGTCTCCAGGAATGTGCTGGTTCCCCACACCTCCTGCAATACTGAAGCCTAAACCTAAGGGGGAAGAAACAGAGAAAGGAAAGGTTTTTTTTGTTTGTTTGTTTGTTTGTTTTTAATAAAATGCAATTAGCACATTTCAACAGCCTAAAAACTTTAATCCTTAATTTATTATAACAGTGATAACAGCCAGGGTTCTACTTTAGTTGATTTGTTCTTCTTTAAATATTTGAAGACTTGTTGATTAATGCCAATGAGTCGAGCCAAAGCTCTTGAAGTCAGTCCCTTGTGGCCCTTGATTTTGTTCTACTTTATGACTGCACACTTATTTGTTCTTCTCTAGCTAATCAGCTCCTACTGGGTGATTGGACAAAATAGGGGTCAGGCAAAAGTGTGAAAGGATCCTACGTGAGCCAGGCAAAACACAAGTACAGTTCTGCTCACATTGAGTCTGTGGGTTCCTCTTCATTGTTGCTGTTACTCTGGCATAGAGAATTATTTGGGTACAGACCTAGACACTCTTGAAATTTCAGGATGAAAAATACAACAGTTAGAAAATTTCCCAAATTAGAAACAAAAGCCACAAGGAAGAGACATTGAGATTTAAGTAGTAATTTTAGAGAGAAGATAAGGAAAAGAAACTAGATGCTTGCATTTCCCATTTTTTTCTCTGGCCACCTTGTCATATCTTCACATTTCATGGTACTAACTGTTATTAAGTAATAGTGAGGCTAGTCACACACACACACACACACACACACACACACACACACACACTCACACACACACACACACACACACACACACACACACACACACAAATGATCTCTATATACATTCTTAAGAATAAAGAAACAGCTGAAACCGGTTTGGCTCAGTGGATAGAGCATCAGCGTGCAGACTAAAAGGTCCCGGGTTCGATTCCGGTCAAGGGCTTGCACACCATAGTAGGGGGTGTGTAAGAGGCAGCTGATCGATGATTCTCTCTCATCGATGTTTCTAACTCTCTATCCCTCTCTCTTCCTCTCTGTAAAAAATCAATAAAATATATTAAAAAAAAGAATAAAGAAATAGACAATATTCTCTATCTTATACCATAGGATATCAAAATCACTTTAAATATGAAAGTTTCTACAATGAAAGATAATTTTTACTGTGCGATGGCTTACAAATTTTTTATTTATATGTACCAATGGAATTATAATAATAGTTATTAAAATCATTATGAAGTCATTTAAAAATAATGACTTATAGAATCTTTAAAAGTATAAAAATATCCTTTTCAGGATATGATTAAATATACATTCAGATTAATAATTATAGCATACATTAAAATTATAATAATTAACATGCACATTACTTAGAAAAAGATATATATCAAGTGATATTTTTTTTTTTAGTAAAAACAGAAAATTTCTGTAACTTACTTGGTGTAAGACTTTTTTATTTTTAACCACACATACCTAGTAACCTAATTTAAAAAAACTAGGACACCTGTTTTATCATAATAAAGACCAACAACACATCTACCTGGCACTTCATACAAAAACAATGAAAAACACTTTTAAAAATACTCCATTTCACTATGAATATTAAGTAGAACTATGTGCTCTTAAGATGATTAGTTAATGGAGAAACAGTGGCATAGCAAATTATAAAGAAATACCTCTGAAATTATATTTGCAATAGAATAATTTTTGTTAAATTAAATATAATAATTATTAATATAAATGGAAAATGGATTTAAGTTGATAGAGCAATTAAAATTAGTGTTCACTAATTTCCTACAAAATGGGAAAATTATTCTTTACTGATGCTCTGGCTTCCACAGATCTATACATGTATCTGTTTGCCTCAGATTAAAAAAAAAATTGTTTAATAAGCAAATGATGATCCAGAATAAATAAAATACACCTAATTGGCTTTTCCTTTGAAATTCAAAATACATTTCAGTTCATGTTTTCTAACCCTATTACTTTATATTTATATATGATTATAGTGTGCTTAAAAATATAGTTACAAAAGTTTCATAGCTACATGCTAGACTCAATCTACTGCACTTGGAGTACTATAAAAGTCATTCCATACTGTAGAAAGAAAAGGTTAAAACAAATCCAGGGACTCTGATTCACTATGTCAACAGTAAATGCCACAGTCAATCTAGGATACAGAAGAGCTCAAGAAACAAATCACCACTTTAAACAAGTTTAAATCCAACAAAGGGCATAATTATGTAGTTGACATTTAAAGTTTGTACCAGCACAGTGAAATCACTGTGGATGCTCTCGACAAAATTATATCACTAAAAAGTTAATAACTTTTTTCTCTGAGATTAGGTTTAAAAACATTTTAACTAGTGACTCTGCTCAAGGTGAAGCAAAATATTTTTAGTAGGAGTCAGAGAATGTTTCTGAAGCTACTAAAAATCTTCTCTGATTTTTCTTACTTTGATGAGAAAAATGAATACATTTAAAAAGAATTAATATTTAATCAGCACTCAACCATATTCCAGATACTTAATCAAATGTAAGTAAATGTGTAGCTTTCATCTACATCCAGAATTCAAGTTTATTTAGAGGTGGGAATATCCATCTGTGTCATGAGATTCAATCTACCTCCATTCATTCATTCATTCATTCACTAACCTCACTCATATATCCATTTATTCAACAAACACCCCTGAGTACATGGTATGCATTGTTGCTTTTGACTGTGGTCAACATAAATAAATGGATTAACTAGAAACACTATAGAAATAATGATTCATGAGTGGGTACATATGAGTTGATGGGCTGAATCTGGCTGGAATGTTCTAAACTCAGAGGATGCCAGTGCTTTTTGGAGGACTAGTCTATGAAGACAAATGTGGGCTAGGACTGCTGAGCAAAAAGACCATCCAAATAATCAGTTTGAAGGCACTGGGAGTTCCTTGTACATATTCTAGCGAAGCAGAGGCAGGGTTTCTATATTAAAGGATCATTCTCTCCCCTTATTAGCTAATATTTCCCTCCTTCATTCCTCTCTAGACACTCACAGACTTGATAATTCTAGAACTCACTGGACACACTTCTACCTTAGGGCATTTATCTGTTCCTTTTGCCTCGAATGCACTTTCTTTAGAGCTTTGTACAAATTTCAATTTCTCTATGAGCCTGAACCTGACCTACTTATTTAATACTATCCCCCAATCATGAACTCCACTTCCTTCTTCTGCTCTACTTTTCATTTTACTTTAGCATTTATTATATCTTGTAATATACTACGCAAGTCATATATGTATTTTATGTTATTTATTTTTTGTCTGTTTCTTTGATGAAAACATAAACTTCATGATGATAGGATTTTTTTGTCTGATTTATGCTATGCAATAGAACAAGGCCAGTTATATAGAACAAGTACCCCTTATTTGTGGTTTTGCTATTCATGGTTTTAGTCATCCATGGTCAACCACCAGCTGAAATCTTAAAAATTTTCAGAAATAAACAATTTATAAGTTTTATATTGTGTACTATTTTGAATAGTATGATGAAATATCTCACTGTCCCACTCCATCCCACCTGGGACATGAATCATCTCTTTTCTTGTGTATCCATGCTGTGTGTACTGTACAAAGAGATATTTTGAGAGAAATCACATTCACATAAATTTTATTATAGTACTAGAGGTCCATTGCATGAAGAGATTCGTGCAATAGACCTTTTTTCCCTTGGTTTCCAGCATAGGTTTTCCTCCGGCACCCAAGACCCAGGCCTTTGCTCCAGCCAGAGTTTGCCTTCTTCGTCTTTGCTGCAGACTGAGGCCAGAGTCTGCCATCTTTGTCTTAGTCTGCAGTCTTGTCTTCACTCCGACATTCTGCTCCTGTAGATCCTTTCACCCCCACCCTCCCTCTCATAGCTGGTGTCCTGCCCCACTTGGCCATTCCACACCTGGAGCAGCTGGGTGGCTGCCATCTTTGACCTTCTAATTTGCATACTCACTCTGATTGGCTGTGGGCATAGCAAAGGTACGGTCAATTATTAGGTAAGATACTAGAGACCCGATGCACAAAATTTGTGCAAGGGACTTGGCCTTCACAGCCCTGACTGCCTGTGGCCCTAGCTGCCTTGCATCCCCAGCTGCCTTGAGGCCCTGTCCTATGCCCACGGGTTGTTCCAGAAGGTCGTTCCAGAAGGTTGTTCTGCTGTCCAGTCAAATTAGCATATTAGTTCTTTATTATATAGGATTGTTTTAATTGTTCTAGTTTATTATCAGTTATTGCTGTAAATCTCTTAATGTGCCTAATTTATAAATTAATTTTTGCCATACGCATGTATATATATGAAGGAACACAGTATATACAGGTTTCAGTACAAGCCATTGCAGGCATCCTCTGGAGGTCTTGGAATGTATCCTCCATGAATAAAAGGGGACAACTGTAGTTACTTTATAAGTATATTTTACATACAAAATGAATGGAAAAATAAATATAAGAAGACAGAAAAAGCCACATGTCTCTCAGAAAGATTCTCCTTAAAGATGAAGTTGGTGGCTTAGTGAGTGAGGGACAGCTGAAAAGAAGAGGGCTGTAGTGCAGTTGATGACTCTTAAGTAGTTACCCTGCTTCAGGTGAACTCTGACTGGGGAACAGCATAGCCAGCTTTGCATCCTGATTCTCTCACCTACTAACTGTGTAAACTACTGATCTGTAATGAGGGAATTAGTGTATCTGTGGTGTATAGTAACTGGCATATAATAGATGCTTGATAAATTAAGAAAAAAATTATCTTTCCTCCATAAATTGTTTTGAAAAACAGACACCTAGACACACTGGCATTATTTAACTGGTTATGATGAGTTCTCTTATAGTACTAGTGTTATGTAAGCAAGACTTAGAAGAGCAGGAGAAGAATCAACAGATGTTTAGTGTCAAAAATGTGTCCTACAGGTTAAGTTAGAATTGATAAAAGAGAATGCATCTTTCAAACCAAGACATCCTCTGGATTCCAGACTGCCTAAATGACTAGAGTCAGCTGCTCTGACTTTTGTCACACGATGTTCATAAAATTCCAGCTCCATTG